GTCTCTTTCAATCTTAATTACTTTAAATATACAAAAATCTTTAATAACTCTCTCATCTAATTGAAATATGTGAAGAACATGTGATTTATACTTGAAAATAATAAAATCAATAGAAATAGTAACAATACTGACACTTTTAGCTTTAAATTAGGAGCAGTTTTATCTCAAAAAAATAAAGATGAAAAAGAACATGTAATAACTTATGCTAGTAAAAGAATTGATAATATGTAAAAGAATTATTATACTTTTGAATTAGAATATCTAGCAGTAGTATGAACAATATAATTATTTAGATTATACTTACAATCAAATATTCTATTTATATTAGTAACTGATCACAGTATACTCAAAGGCTTATTCAATAAACTCAAAATCTCTAGTAAATTAGCAAGATGAATTATGATATTAAATGAATACAATTTCAAGATAGAACTTCAAAAAGGAAGAATTCATTCCAATATAAATTCACTATCTAGATATTTCCAACAAGAAATTACTTAGAAAAGTATAAGATAATAATATTCAAGTAATAGCCAGATAACCACTTACTGATAACTCAAACTGATATAATAAATTTAATTGAATACTCTCAACTCGTTAATTATTTGAAAACTTTAAATATACCAGAAGAAATACTAGCAAAAGATCAGCAAAAATTCAAGAATAAAGCAAAGCACTATCTAATTAAAAATAAAATATTATATTGATATAATAAAAAGAATTCAGAATAATTACTTAAAATAATTAAAATAACTAAAGTAGAAAAAGTTCTTTTTAATAAACATGTTATAATATATACTGAACTTTTTGATATTAAAACAACTTACTATCAGATTATACAAAATTATTATTGGTCAAAAATGCATTTAAATATTAAAAAATATATTAAAGCATGTGATGTATACTAGTACAAAGAAAAAATCAGAAGAAAAATCCATTACATTCAATAGAAAGCAAAGAATCTTTTGAAAAAATTGATATAGATCACTTATATCAACAAAAAATGAATACAAATTTATAATAGTTATTATAGATTTATTATATTAAATAATCAGAAACAAGAGCAATATTCAATAGTGCAGTTGAATCAATAATTCTATTTCTATATAAAGATATATTTTGCTGATATGAATTTCTAAAAGAAATAATATCAGATAGAGATACAGCATTTGTTAATGAGTTAATTAGAAATTATATAACAAATATTAGATTAAATATCATCTTTCAACTTTATATCATCCACAAATTAATAGATTAGTAGAAAAATTAAATAGAAGATTATATAATTCAATTAGAAAATTAGTTCAACTATATAAAAAAGAATGAAATGAATATCTTCTATCAGTACTTTTTGCTTATAAAATAATGCAATAAAATTCAACAAAGTTTACTTCATTTTATCTTACTCATGGAAGACAAGCAATTATATTACTAGATCTTAAATTATTACTATTTAAAAATAAAGATCAAATAACTTTAAATAAAATAATTAAATGAGCTTGTACTATAATGAATAAACTCAAATTAGACTGAATAATAGCTCAACAAAATGTGAAAAAATCACAACAAAAGCAGAAAGAAACTTATCAACAAGATAATTAATCACAATTTTTTGAAATTGAAGAAAAAGTTCTAATGAAGAGAATGAAAATGCAATATTGACATTATGAAAAATTCATTCAAAAATGAAAAGGATCATTTTATATTCACCAAGCTCTTAACAAAAATATATATCGACTTAGAATAATTCTTATAATAAAGATTATTTGAAGTGTTATATTAAAAATAATAGTTTGGAATTCATAATTATAATTCAAAATTAATCAATAACTGATTGGGAAGTTAATAAACTAAGCTAATAGAATTAATTAAATCTTACGTCACCTTAACTAGAACAAAAATCACAATTAATACAAAATAACAACTCAAAAAGCATCAATTATCTTGAAAAATTATTATTAATTAAAAAGCTATCATTTACAACTAACAGTTTATAATAGACTTTATAATTTGCTATATATTTGTAAATCACAATATTGGGATAATTTATCACATAAAGAATACAAATGTAATGACTGTGACGAGATGAAAATAGTTATTGAAATGAAAGATTATTTGGAAGAAAAGCACAAAAATAGATAATATATATTAACTAGCTATACTTGTTACTGATATAGAAATTGCTAACAAATATTATATACTGAATGCAGAATATGTGATGAAAATACTGAAGAAAATGTTATTATATTATTATCAGACAAAGATGAAAATAAAATTAAAGATTTATATCAATTTAATGAAAAAAAATTGTTATTATAAAGAAGAAAATTTATCTTTAGATAGAAGAAGAGGTTCAAAAATATCTTATCAACAAATAGAAGAAGATTTTGTTAAAGAAGATGATGAAGAGAAAATAAATCTGTCTCAAATAAAAGAAGATTTTGTTGAAGAGAATAATAAAGGGAAAATAAATTCATCTCAAGTAAAAGAAAATTATTCTTATTATTACACTGGTTATTACTATAATGAAAAGACAGAACTATATCATCCTCTCTACACCTAGAAAGATATTCCTCTCAAAGATAATAATGAAGTATTTTCCCATAATCATTATCATCATTCTCATCTTCGTCATTATTCACAAGAAAATATAGAATTTCTGGCATCACAATTCAAAATTGATAACTCTGATTAAGGTTGCTTGCTGAAATCCCTTAGTGACTGTCTAAATTCTGTCGAAATTATAATAAACTATTAGTAAATAACCCGTCGAAATTCTGACAAATTTTGAAACCCGTCGTAACTGAAATTATGTCGAAATTCTAATTAACAATTAGTGTGTAACCCATCGAAATTATGACAATATTTTTCTGAAAGGATTTAGGCAAGCATCCTTAACTCTGATCTAAAAATCAATAACAGATCAGAAAATGAACTGAAAATCAGTCTAAAAATAGTTGAAATAACAGATATGAGATCATCTGAATTGCTGGATCACAGTCAGATAGCCAAGAACAAAATGATGAGTGAAAGAAAATAATTATTCATCTTTCACTATCCAACATTAATAACTAATTCATCAATGTCATCGCATATAATAATCAGTATTCCATAAATTGAAAAAAGCAATAAAAAAACAATATAAATAGCAATGAAATTGGTGAAACAAATAGAAATTGAAAAAACTAGAGCAAAAACAAAGATAAGGATATGAAAACAAGAAAAGAAATTATACAATGATCATCACATGCCAATCCAGACTCCTAAATGATAGTTATGAATGGTATCACTATTATTGGAATAATAAAAATCACTGCACAAAAGAAAGAAATGATGAAACAGCATTTCTCTTAGGAAATTGCAAAATTTGAAAAAATGTCATCATCACTCTTAATGAAAATACCAACCAGATCTATAGCAATACTTATCAAAATAAAAAAACGAAGAAAAAGCAACAGAAAAACCAAAATTACCACCAGAAAACTCACAAAAATTCCCAAACACATAATGAAATTGTGACACTTTGCCAAATGGAATACGTGATGATAAAGTGCAGTTTCCCTATAAAAAACTAGAAAATAGTAAACATGAGAGTAGCACGCTTTCAAGAAATAGTGAAAATAATTTTCACTGAAAATACAGTCAGCTTTCACAATCAGAACACAGTAATAATAATAGTGCTACAGTTATTTTAAATAAAGGATTTCTTCACAATTGGTAAAAAAGTCATATGAGTTGGGAGAGAGAAATAGATTAACAAAATTGGTTAGTGCAAAAATAAGTATCTAAACCTGTGTCAATTTCGAAAGAAATTATTAAACAATTCTATCAAGAATAAAAAGAGAAATTGAAGGAGTGTGTTCAAAGAGACAATTAACTAATAGAAATTACTAACTAAATAAAAAGTTATTGATTACTGAATTAAATATCTTAGTAAATATCATGGAACAAGATAATAGAGAAATCAAATATATAAAGATAGCTGATTTTTATAGAAATATCCAAGATCTAGTTAAATGACTACAAGACTTTAAAATACATGTCAAACCAATGCAATTAACAACAATAAAAAAAATACAAATAGTTGAAGCTTATTTAAAAAAAGTTAAGAGTTTCCAAATATCCAGTTTCTTCATGTTAATTTTGTTGCAACCGAATCTAGTAAGTTCTTTGGAAGTACTCTTGAAAAATTAATTTTAACAATATTAACAACAATCAAATAAAATTTTTAATTGAAAAATTTATTTTTACTATCAATCAGAATACTGTAAAATTGCTTGATTAATAATTTTAATATGAGTTTATTTAAAGAATATTAAAGTATATTGTTACTGGAGCCAACATTATATAGTATTTTTATTGACTATTCAATTTTGATCACATAGTTACAATCCAGATTGGATTAAAAATCACGTATAACTACACGACTTTAATGGATTTCCAAATATAGAAATACGAAAATATGTATAATTCATATTATAACTTTGAAATTCTAACAATATCGAAATCGATCACATGTTCGTATATCTGGTTACTTGTCCGTACATCCGGTCACCTGCCCGAACATCGTAAATCACGTGCCCATACATTTTTCTTAGGTTACTATTTATATAGCTTAATTGATTATAATTTAATTTGTTTGAACTGTATATTTTAAATATCTTAAATATATTTATTATGTGTCTTAAAGTTGATATGCAAGACACTTATATAAATAATTCTTGCATATCTACAATAATAAAGACATTAAATCTTAAATTTAATAAAAAAATCGTTTCTTTATACTCGAGTTTACCATCAAGTTTTTTTAATAGCGTTTTGCATTATTAAAATTGAGAATTTGATTGGTCGATCAACATGTGACCATGTGATATTACTCGGAGAAATTTAGTGTAACTGGGAACAGTCTCGAGCCGCGACTTATATATATATATTGTTCTCTTTCAATTAAAGACTTTTTCTCCTATTGAAAATTATTATATAGCAATTCACCCTTAACAATGTCTTCAATTGAGAATTTTATTGATCAGCCAATTTGGGACGACGTTGAACCCATTCCTCAGGACGATGGTCCTGACCCGTTGGCCCCAATTGCATACTCTCATGATTGTAAACTTGACTGTTCTTTTTTTGCATATTCTTTGCTTTAATAATTTTAAAAAATACGCATTCCTCACATATTTACTTAGATTCACGCGCCATGGATTTATTTCGCGCCATTACGCGTAAAAAAGAACTAAGTGAAAGGGCTTTAAAGCTGACAGAAACTATTATCGAGTTAAATCCTGCTCATTATACTGTTTGGTTTGTACTTTCATTGGTCTACCTCAACGTGTATTTGCGTGATGCTTATTTAATATCGGATTTATAGGAATTATCGTCAGCAAATATTGACTGCAATAGATTACGATTTGAATGAAGAATTAAACTTTGTTGATTCGTGTGCTGAACAAAATCCAAAAAATTATCAAGTGTGGTTTGTTGAGATTCCACCTCATTTCTTTTTCATATATTTTCACGGGATATTTTATTAATTTGTAATTTCATAAACAAAGGCATCATCGCCAAATTGTTGTTGACAAGCTGAATGATAGCTCGCGCGAGTTACCATTTATTAATGGCATACTTGACGATGATTCAAAGAACTATCATGCATGGTCATATAGGTATTAGTAATTTAAAATTGCTATGATATTATTATCAATTTTTTGTTTTAACTTGTTAATATCCGTGTATGTGTTATATTTATTCTTAACAGACAATGGATAATCAAAAGATTTAACTTGTGGAAAGGAGAATTAACTTTTGTGAGTTCACTGTTGGAGAAGGATGTGAGAAATAATTCAGCTTGGAATCAGAGATATTTCTACATATTCAATAATCCTGAAGAAGTGACTGAAGGAATTATAAATTCTGAAATTGAGTAAGTGTCATTTAATTTATAACACATGCGTAGTAGTATATTTTTTTTCAAAAAATTTTATTTATTATAAAATTGATAGATACGCAATCGAAAAAATTAGATTGACGCCACACAATATAAGTCCATGGAACTATATTAAAGGGTGAATTTTGCTAATCACAATAATGTTAGAGAAATTCGAATTTCTAGTATTTCGTTAAGTTTCAATTGTATTCTGTATGACATTATTCATTAGGGTAATCGAAAAATCCGGTAAAAGTATCGAAATACTGGAAAATATATGTAAAGAACTTCAAAATGCAGACATTCGTTCACCGCATTTATTGGGTAGTCTTGTAGATATTTACGAGAATAGAGCACGTGCTGGATCGAATAAAGATAAACAAGAAGCTATCAAGGTATTTTTCCAAATTGTTTTTTGAATTTGTATAAACTTTTTTATTAATACTTTCAAATCTACAGATTTGTACACTTTTAGCTGATGAACACGACATAATTCGTAAGAAATATTGGGAATATCGAAAACATGCAATAGCTGCTTATTGATTATTAATCGGAATATGTTATAGATTCAAATTTGAAAATTTAAATTAGATTAAATTATTTTTTGCATATCAAACATACTTTCATACGTTACTACACACATATATATATAATCTACACATTATTTTATATATAATTTATTATCTATTTGGATTCATAATACAGAATCATTATTCATCCTTTTTTGCAGCCTTTTCCGCTTTCTTGATTGAAGCTTTATCCGTCGCAGGTTGCTGAGCTTCTGCTAAGGCACCAAATGGACTGACATTTTTGAAAGGTCGTTTCAGTTCACCTTCCGCCTTATGACCTAATAAATGAATCCGAATAACATTATTCTGCAGCACATTCTTCACTGGCAATATCGTCTGAATAAATAATGGCTGCGTAAAATTCCAGTAGAAGTGTAGAGCGCTCATGATTACAACACCCATTAATGTTTGTTTGATGAGCTCATCAACTTTTTCTAGGTCGTAGTCACGATAAGTAGTTTGCACTACTTTATTGGGTTCTTGTTGAAATGGTTTTGGTGGCTCGACATATTTTAAAGGTGTATTATCTATAGTAATGAAGAGGACAGTTTAGTGTCCGAAACAATCAATAGATTATTCTAAACCTAATGACGCAATTATATATACCATTCTTTGATTTGACCTTGAAATTGGTTATGTAACATAATGACAGCACAAACAGTTGTGAAGTGGCATAAGCTGCACGAACGTAGAACAATACATCAGGATCTTCTAGGTTAAATTTCCGTGCCACTTGCACGACAAAAAATAACAATACTAAATTTGCAATCTAGAAATCACAAGGAAAGTTAACTTTTGTACCTTTGTGTTGATTGTCAAAAGAATAAGTAACTTAATTTACCTGAGGATTCATATTGAATAAGGTTAAGTGAGTGGTTGAGTAGAATTTTCCTGAAACGGTCCATTTTATATATATATATTTTTTTTGTGCTGATTGGTTGGCTTAACTTTTCATATTAAAAAATACACATATCGATCAAGAAACTCGCATTTGTTCAGAGATGTCTCAATTCAGTGAAGTATGCATTATTTTTGGGGATTCTTGTTCTTAAGACATTGCAATTTTGAGGGAGAGACGCGTTGTTTTGAATCCTGGTTATTGCATGCCAATTTTAAGTGCTCTTTTAATCTTAATTTCTGACGTTTTATAAGGAACCTGCAGAAACGGACAAAAATTTTCTCTCGTCTACAGATAAAAACCTAACGACGCGTACAGGCGGTAGAAGACAATTCACGTATAGTGAAAAGTTATTACCATCTCAAAATGTCGAACAACCCACCTCTGGTGAAAGACAATTCTCATATAGTGATACGTTAGCTTCAACTCCAAATGTCGGAAACCCGGAGATAGATAATGATTCAGACTCACAATTACCATTAGCCACAAATCCTATTTATCCGCCTCCAGTTTTATCTGGTGACGGTTACGTGAAGCAAATACATAAAAGGCCACCACTTCCTTCACCAGTGGTTATAAATCCTGTTTATCCGCCTCCAGCTTTACCTGAAGATACAAAGGATCCGAAAAAAACATTTAATGTGGAAGAAATTTTGGATATCGTAAAAGAGGTGAGGATTTAATCCGAGGAGATGAAAATATACAAACTTGATTCATATTTCTCGTATGTTACATCGTCTTAACAGGTCACCGATGTAGTTCTACAGGACTCTGCTTATTTGCACACTCGAGTTTCTACGTGGAACAAGCAAATTGTTAATAGTTGCGTAAAGAAACTATGCGGTCTGGGTAAAGCTTTCAAGTATATTGGTATGTGTGAGCATATATCTAATGAGCATTTATACAATGTGAAAGTATCATTAATAGTATATTTTTCGAATATACAGTGACATGTACAATAGTTCAAAAAACCGATGCAGGTTTACATTCTACAAGCTCTTGTTATTGGGATGCACGATTTGATGGTGAGAAAAAAATATTCTCAATGATCTTTTTAGTTGTCCTTCGATTTATTCTTTCGTATTACATTAATGCAAATCTATATTTTTATACAAAAGGGTGTGCAAAGTTTCATCGCGACTTGAAAAATATGGATGTGGTAGTAAATGTATTTGGTTTGGCGGTATGAGTTTTATTTAAAAAATGGCGACGGTAAATATGAAAACCCCGGGCTACTACTATTCACTTTAGGGAATGGGTATGATACACACATTATTACCTCTATGTGTGTCAGTAGATGTATCCTTTTTGTTTAATTAATGTTATATGCTAGATATTTTTATGTTACCTAATCTGTATTTTTCAAGCTGTATTATTATTTATTATATTATTTGTGTGATACGATAATATGAATATAAGATCTTTCTTTTTCAAAAATAATGCCAACTCAAAGTCATAGTGGTTGGACTGTGTCTGCGCCAATTCCTATATATATAAATTCAATAAATTTGCCTCTATATCAAAGTATATAATGATTTGACCAAAATTAAGATAATGTTTGGCCCAAACGTTTTTTTTTATATTGAAATTCTATTGATTACGTTATGTGAAATCACGTTTCAAGATCGGTGAAAACTAAAAAGAATGGAATTTCCTGAGTTGGTAATTGTTTTGCATTATATGAAACCTTAAAAACAATTATAAATCTTGATGGTGTATGAATACCTCAAGACATTTCGGAGATTTTGGTCGGTTTAGAGAGTTATCATCTCAGAGTGATTAATTAATTTAAAAGATGTGAGATCTGGCTTGTAAATTGATCGACTTAAAGAGGTTTGACTGTACTGCCCCTGCGCAATTTGCGGAGGTACTCCTTTTTAAATAAATGCGCGAGATCTTTACGTTTATTATTCGCTATAAAAAAAAAGTATTGATTTGCATTCGATCAGCTTTTTGAAGCAGATTATTGATGAGAATTCAATCCAAAAAGAGAAAATCTAACGCTATATCATCATTTGGGCACGTTCATAAAATCTCGAACTACAGGCTTGTGTAATAAAGTATCCATTTATCAAAAAATGAACAGGAAAAGATAGATGATAATATAATATCTAGTAACAATTATAGTATATATTATACCCTAAAAAAATACGTTGGCCTTAAATCTATTGTTTGGTCACTTGTCAGACAGACAGACTACTTTCCTTTAACACAAACCAACACACACTGATATAAGAAAAGACCCGTTAAAGGTGCAACACTCAAGATGAGCGGCGCAGTTGGTTACATTGGGTCAAAGATCAGTCTTATATCACGGTCCGATATTCGTTATGTTGGCATTTTACACACCATCAATCAGGCAGACTCGACTGTCGCTCTTGAACAAGGTTAGCAGTTTGGGTTCTTGAGAGTGCCATTGTGCCATTATGAGTCACCCATAAATAAATTTTGCCCTCGAGATAAACTTTAATGTGTATTTGGAATTCAGAATGATAGATTTTTGCTAAATGGCCATAATAGAATGTCATTGCGCTGATATTAATTAACACAATGCTAATAAAAAAACATTATCCTTTGTTAATATCACAATAGTACGTTCCTTTGGTACTGAAGGTCGTCGAGGCATTCCTAGTGAGGAAATACCACCATCAGATAATATTTTTGAATACATAGTGTTTCGAGGCTCAGATGTTAAAGACTTGCACGTTTGTGAAGCTCCAGCTCCACAAACATCTTTGCCGCCGCAAGTTCCCAATGATCCTGCTATTCTGGGGGTGAGCATTCTTGAATTTTAGAAGGAAAAGACCTTTAACTTCGATCAAATGATGCAAACAATGGAATATTTTATATAAACTGAAAAAGCGCAAATTTATTTTCCTTCGTGTTGACACAATCATTGTTGCCTTCCTACTGAAACCATTCGAAACAAACAATGAAATTCTATTTTGGATTTTTCCAAGATATCTTTTACTAATTGAACTTTTTATATGCTGCATTTAGACTACTGCCCCACGACCACCAAGTTTCCAAGGTTTTGGTCCTCCACCACCACTCGGCGTTCAACCACCAAATTTTCCTACTGCTCAATTAAATCAATATTATTTGAATCAAGTTGCAGCTGCAGCGGCTTTCCAACAACAGCATCAGCAGCATTTTTGGCAGCAACCTCAAGTTCCACAACAACCTCAGGTAGTTTATACTGTTCAAATATGATTTTTTCTTATTTCTTAAGGTTGTTTTTTCACGCTGGTATTATTTTTCTGTGTATGATTATTATCGTCTAAAGTTGAATATCACGGAAGCTGCACCAAAAGAAGCTGAACAGCCAAAGACGCAACAACAGGTCCGCAATTTAATATTAATGGGTTTTTGACACATTTTGGCGTTGGTAAACCTCGTATTTTTATCAATATATTATATACAATATACTACAATAGAAAGAGCATACGGGACCCGATAAGCCAGAGGATCATAAATTAGATAGTAATCAGGTTACATTGAATAAAAATCTTGCCAGTAAACCGGGCCCAAGTGCACGGTCAACTGTTGGGCATGCTGTAAGCATTCGTAATGACTTGATCAAGGATGCGTCGTCAAGCGCGACAGTTGAGAAATTGGCCAAAAAGGTTGGCGAATTGAGCGTGACGGCTACTTCTACTACTACCACCACCGTCACTAAAGAGGCAAATGGTGAAAGGCAAAGCACGCAGACTTATGAACGTAAATATTTTTATCGTAATTGTAAAACAAATAACGATTTTTTTTCTCACGTGAAATTTCTTTTTGTTTATATAGGAGCTGTTAATAATACTAATACTACAGGCAGTGGCAGTGGCACTAGCAACAACAATAATAATCGTTCATCTGCATCAACACATAACAACAGTAGTAGTAATAACAATAATAGTAGTAATAACAGACTGCCAGGCATGGGTGGACATCTCGTCCAACCAGTCCGCCGAGGTCGTGGTAGTCGAAGAAACTATAGTCAAAGTTACGATCGAAACCGAATTCCAGTTCCAGCCTCAGACTTTGATTTCGAATCCTCAAATGCGAAATTTAATAAAGATGAAATTGTCAAAGAAGTCCGAAAGACTGTTCCAAATCACGATGCTGTTGCTAAAGAAGAGGAAGCTATTGACACCCATCCAAACACTGAAGATGAAGACGAGGAAGAAATTTTGATACCTCCAGCTGAACTATTCTATGATAAAAATAAATCATTCTTTGATAATATTTCTTGTGAGACAAAAGAGCGTTTGGAACAACAAGGGCCTGATGGACGGTAAGTTTTTTTTATCTTTATTTGTGGTCTCACAATGAAATTTATTTTCAAACTTAATAATATTTTCATAATTGTTAGTCGTGGTCTATCTGTGTCCGAACGAAGACAAAAACAATCAGAGGAGAGGCGATTGAATCTCGAAACTTTTGGTCAAGTTTCCATCGACGGCGGAAGATACCGTGGTGGCTATCGAAGTCGTGGTTACAGAGGTGGGAGAGGCGGATACCGTGGAAACCGAGGTGGTGGAAGTAACAGTGGTGGTGGTAGTAATAGCGGATATCGGGGAGGATATTCCAGCAACTTCCGTGGAAACAATTATAGGGTATTTATCTATTTTATTTATTTGTTGATTTGTTATATACAATTTCATGCAGTTGTGAATTTAATTATTTGTCTATTTATAGTCAAACCAAAATTCATAAACCAATAAGTAATGATGATAATAAAATAGACGAATATTACGATGTTTGTATCAATCAAGTCTTGTTTATATTATTTGCTCTTCTTTCTTTTTAATTTGTTAATGATATTTACATAAAATGATGCGAAATCTTCTACAGTATTTTTATTTAAATCTTTTTTTTCCTCCTTTGCCAACCACAATAACGATGATGATGGCAATAGATAATAGTCATCACCATTTCTTACTATTTCCTAAAAAATACTCTTTATTCCTCTTTAATATTATCATTTAGTCATCTCTTCCTTTTTCCAAAAATAATAATTGGTGTAAATCCATCATCATCGTTATCACTTTTTTTCTGGCTTAGAGGGGTTGATTCTTCATTCAAGAGACAGTTTACTTGGTTGGTTGGTTGGTTGGTTGATACATCCATTTATAATATTTTATTTTTGTAGTATATATAATAATTATTATATAATATATAAACCTGATACGAAACAAAAAGAAGCCAATAATAGTAACAATAAAAGCGTTAAATGTGTAGAAAATATTCACATTAAGCTAAAAAAAAAAATGGCGAATCGATATAAAGAATGATGAACCTTCTTTTACTTGCTTAGCTTTTTGGCGACAAATTAAATGTAATTCCTAGAATGATCAGAATTTTTTTACTTGCCAAAGGCTGAAAAGCAAATATCATCTTAATAATTCCAATACAGTCATATAAGACACAATTTTGAGAACCAAATAATTAATCTTTATAAGAACAACCTCCATAGGAACCAATTTTTATGGCCTGACCACGTTCTGATCTGATTTTCGCGTCTCTCTAAATAAGCTTCATCTAATTAAAAATTAGGGGAGCTGGATATATTGCAGAATCGTAAAAAACATCCGACCTCGAAAAACATATCCTGGTACTTAGCAATGATATTAAAAAATGCAGAGGCAGAATGTGATCGAGTATCGCAAGATAAAAGATTTTTCTTTTTTCGAGCATGTAAAGTGAAAAAGTGAGATTCGAGCCGAATTTCTTCTACAAGTCGCACATCTGCAACAACACATTATTCCGATAAAATCCTGATGTAAGTGGTGGTAACAATTAATTAGCGAGGCTAAAGAATAGGAGGTAGGCTTTGGATCTGATAAAAGACGTTTTTTTCGCTTATGAGAATATGACTTATTTAGAGGTTGAAAAGAATGATACGGATATCAATTTGGTCCTTGAGGATCCAGTCCAGATCGGCGATGGGAGTATCTTTGGTATCGGGGCTTTGGATTATATGGAAATGGTAGTTGTTCGAATTGCCATGAACTGACCGGTGATCCTCACAGTGCAATCGGGGAATTGTGTGCAAGTAATTTGGCCGAGAACAACTTGTGCATTTCCGTTTTCAGGTTCGACTATCTGAGGGCATGATCTCTTCAATCCCCCTTGGGGCAGGCATAGCATTGGTCGATGGAAAGAAGTCAAAGGCGAAGATGAGCAGAACCAAGAAAACATGAGAGGGGTTTGCTTATTCATGTTCGTTTAACTAAATTGGTTTTTTTGGATGTCGTTTTTTTTGACCTCGTTGCTCTTTAATGTTTGGATTATCCACGTTTTTATAAATGAGGAAGGTTCATGTTTTTGACCCTATTCATCGTATGAACCTGCATTGCTTCGTTTTTGATTATAGTATAGACGCTTTGTAAAAATCACTAATAAAAATGGTTCCGTTACCATGAGTGTGCTCTGAGAATTCCCAATTTTGAATTTGAATTCTGATTATGTATGTTATACATTCAGGCATATGTGATGTTATTTTTAGGTGAATTAAAAAATTGAATCAAAAATCAGCAGTCAAGTAGTTTGTAACTTCATTTTTCATTTAAAAGACATACCTATGGTCTATTTCTCAAGTAATAGATTCAGGTATTATAGGTGAGTTTGAATTTTGGAAATATATACTAGATCCAAAGGGTGAACCTAATAGTATTGCGAAAAAAGTTTTGATTTCATATCAACCAATTAACATAATAAATAAAATTACCTTCATCGTTTACATCTTTTGCAACAATTACCTTTTTTGAAGATCTTCATGTCCTACAATTTGAAAAATTTAAATAGTATAATAAGACCTGGTGAAAAGTTGCATGTTATTAAAAAAATAGTGATATTAAAATCTCTACTCGTAATATATTAAAAATTTCTGCTGTTAGATAACATTGAAGAATCGCTGTAACAATGGTATTATTTCATGTGTATTTTGAGTAATGTGTCAATTGACGAAAGTTCTCAAAATGTTTATTTTAGGCAGGTGCAATTGCAACAACCTCAGAAATAAAGGATATAACACGAATGGAGCGCATAGGTCTTAAAACAGCTCGTTATTTGCTTGCTTTAACTTGATAAAAATTTACTGAATTTGTTCTAAATGTAGGTGCCCATTCTCACATTAGAGGGCTAGGCCTCGATGAATCACTTGAGCCACGACAGGTATCTCAAGGCATGGTTGGTCAGGCCAAAGCCCGCAAAGCGGCAGGCATAATTCTTCAAATGATCAAAGAAGGAAAAATTGCTGGTCGAGCTATACTTATGGCTGGTCCGCCAGGAACAGGCAAAACGGCCATTGCTACGGGTATTTCAATCAAAATGTCGAGTTTCTTGGTCTATTCTTGAATTTTCGATAGATTATGTATATGATCGATTGCATAGGTATGGCTCAATCGCTGGGAAAAGATATACCGTTTACTATGTTAGCCGCGTCAGAGATATTTTCATTAGAAATGTCGAAAACAGAAGCTCTGACACAAGCATTTCGACGTTCTATCGGAGTGCGGATCAAAGAAGAAGCTGAAATAATAGAGGGGGAAGTAGTAGAAATCCAAATCGATCGGTCGGTAACAGGAGTGAGTTGATTTATTTTTGGTGCTGGTGTTTTTTAGTTTACATGCTACACAAGTGGATGAGATTCTCATGTTTCCTCATTGATAATTATATTTAAGGGAACAAAACAAGGCAAATTAACGCTCAAAACCACCGACATGGAAACCATTTATGATCTGGGTCACAAAATGATTGACGCGCTAAATAAAGAAAAAGTCTTGGCTGGGTAAATTTCCTTTTGCTCGATACATCATCATACGCCTTTTTTTCTTACAAAACTTACACGAAATTGGACTATAGAGACGTGATCACAATAGATAAAGCTTCTGGTAAAATATCGAAACTTGGTCGATCTTTTACCCGTGCACGAGATTACGATGCAATGGGAGCAGATGTAAATTATTCCTTTGTCGCTTACTTCTTTATCTATTTTGTTCTCAGAGAAACTACTCTTAATACTCGAATGGAATTTATTTAGACCAAGTTTGTGCAATGTCCGGAAGGAGAATTGCAACGACGAAGAGAAGTTGTGCATACTGTGTCGTTACATGAAATAGACGTGATTAATAGTAGAACTCAAGGATTTTTAGCTCTATTTTCTGGTAAGTTTTTTATATTTTTTATGGCATATGACATATCAGTGCTCAATTTTGTTTCTTTCTATTCTATTCTTCGATATATTGCAGGTGATACGGGAGAAATTAAACCAGAAGTCCGAGATCAAATAAACACCAAAGTAACTGAATGGCGTGAGGAAGGAAAAGCAGAGATAGTTCCTGGAGTACGCGTTAAAATTTTCATGATGTTCTTTATACCCATAATATTTATCCAAATATTCTGTGATTACTAGGTTCTCTTTATCGACGAAGTCCACATGCTCGACATTGAATGCTTTTCGTTCTTAAATCGTGCTCTGGAAGACGAGCGAGCCCCCGTTGTAATCATGGCCTCAAATCGTGGCATTACACGTATTCGAGGCACAAAATACGAAAGCCCGCACGGTATTCCTCTCGATCTCTTAGATCGTCTATTGATCATTAGTACGATTCCTTACGGCCAAGAAGATATTCGACAAATTCTAACAATTCGGTGAGCTTAAATTTTTCTTATCATTAAACTCGTGAAACACTTGTTTGACAACTCGAATCTCACCCAAAATAGATGCGAAGAAGAAGATGTGGATATGTCCAGGGAAGCTTGTGACGTTCTAACACGAATAGGTGAAGAAACATCACTTCGTTACGCCATTCATTTGATCACTGCTGGTCATCTCGTGGCGAAGAAAAGACGGGTAAGTTATTTTTGTTTTATTTTATTTTTGAATTTTTTGGTATTGGTATTTGGTGAGATAATGCTATATATATGTTTGGGTACAGGCGACCCAAGTTGACGTAAGCGACATAAAACGCGTGTACCAACTATTTCTGGACGAAAAACGATCAGTGGAATTTATTCGACAGTATCAGAAACAGTATATGTTTAACGAAATAAAAAAGGATGATGATGAAAAAAAGGAGAAAGACATAATATTGGTTGATGCTATGGAAACTTGAATTGTGTAGCAGCAGGTTCAGATAATTAAAGTTATATTGTTACAGTTTAATATATAACAAAATTCTATTAGAAGCTACTGAGTTATGTATTCGATAAAATTTTTATTATGATCGTAAACAATACTAATAATAATAATAATAAAAAAGTTGTAACGCAGAGACAAACAACCACTTTTTTAGTTTTATTAATCTAATTGTAATTTTATTCGTCGTCGTCCTCCTCTTCGTCACCTGTTAAACAAATGAAAAATTATGATTAGGTCAGATAAAATGATGTATTTGAATACTAAAAATAGTAAAGTTACCTTTAGCAGGTTGTCGTTGACGTTTTCTCTTGACACGACCTGGACGTCCACCACCTTTGATAAAAAGATTTAATTAATATTATCACCGGTGATAATTAAATCGATAAAAACACAATAGAATGATACAATACCATATGGTGAGGTAAGGGCAAAATCAATATGTTTCTGAGAATCGAGACTAAATATTTTTTTTTATATTTTTATATACATGAGACTGAGGGATATACATAATTTTATAATGTCAATGAATGATCGTTATTACTTACCGAACAATAAAACTGGGTACATTGACAATTTGCTTTCCAACGCTAACAAACCAATAATAATATAAATAAAGAATGACATCGCAAAAAACGCAAGAACAAGCAGATTTCTTACCGGATATGACGCTGTCTAATCAAGACACGAGCATGATGAATCGATTTTGCTAATCCCAACTTAAACACTTGCGTCTGTAATCGTCTTTCCAAGAAATCTTCAATTTTCAACGCCAACACGTAATCGAGCTTCATCTTGTGCTCGTCCAACACACCGATTCTTACGAGCCTTCTAATGAGGGCATTTCCTTCAAACAGACGACGAGGGTCTTTGTCATCCAAAGTTAACAGTTCACGTGCTGCACGTCGGATGTTTGAGAGGGTATAGGCTACTCGCCAAATTTCACGCTTATTTCGAAGACCATATTCCCCGATCAGTACTAATTCCTGATCCATACGTTCCTTTTCAAAGGGACGTCGGGGAACCTTGTATGTCTTTGAGCCTAAATATCACAAAATTCATGCAAAGGTGTTTACTTTCCAACTTACAATTTCACATGGTAAAAAATCTTTTTTATTTTAAGCATAAGAAAACGTACGTACAGTTTCTTGGAGCTCCTGGCATTGTGACTAGAAGGTAAACGCGATCAGAAGAAAAAAGTGGGATTCCGAGCGAGCGAGCGAATGAGTGAGGATTTTTTTCCAAGGCATTTTTTTGTCTAAAAATGAAAATTTTTTCGTCAATCACGTGAAGAGAAACCAATCAAGTATTCTTCCAATTTGCTTTTCAAAAAAAAAGTTGAAGCTTCTGTTGCGAGTAAAAAAACCACCTGTTTTTTCCTTGTTAGTTCAACAGAAAGGTATAGTACCAATATAGTGTGTTCTTTCTCGTCATGCATTAACCCTGAGCTTAAGGAGATCTATCTTCTTCATTTTTTGTTTCGAAAAGAATAAAATATGCCGCACTCTTACGGTATCCGTGCCCGTACGCGGTACATGTTTTCCCGCAGGTTCCGTGAAAAAGGGCAAATTAGACTTTCGACCTTTCTAAAGACATACAAAATAGGAGATATCGTTGATATCAAAGCTAATGGTGCCGTACAAAAAGGCATGCCGCATAAATTCTATCATGGGTGAGAGGATACCTTAAATCAATTTATGCATGAAAACATCTTTAAATAATTAATCGAGATCGATTTTATCCTTTATATTGTGTGGTTGTTGATGATGTGGTGGTGGTGGTGGTGGTAATGGTAATGGTAAACTAATAGTCGCACTGGGATCATTTACAATGTGACCAAATCTGCTGTCGGTATCATCATCAATAAACGAGTTGGTAATCGATACCTCGAGAAAAGAATTAATGTTCGTATCGAGCATATTAAGCATTCAAAGTGTCGAGATGATTTCTTGCGCCGTGTTAAAGAGAATGCACGACTTAAGCATGAGGCTAGATCGAAAGGCGGTTGGTGGTTTTTTATTTTTATTTCTTGAATTTTCATGATATTGAATTCAGTGATATATTGTTAAAGTCAATGACATTATTATTTATTTGGAGATATAATTTATTAATGATTGATTGGATCAACTTTTAAATTAACAGAAAAAGTAAATCTTAAACGACAACCAGTGTTGCCTCGACCGTCGCATTTCGTGTCCACACAGAAAAATACACCGCAAACTATTATGCCGATTGCATACGACACACTCGTATAATGCGTAAAATTAAATTAGATTCAGCCTGCTGAATAACTAAAAACCCAGCTACAAATGAATACTCGATTATTAGTTAGATAATAAATTATAAGTTAATGGATCGAAGAAATTAGTCATTAAAATTATAATATTGTGGCGTGAGAATTCACACATCGATATGAAAAATTTCATCCAACATACCAATCAAATGTTTATTATCGTCATTGTAAAGATACTTACTATCTTTGTCTCGGATCGATAATCTTTTTTTCTCATAACTGTGTTCTTGCAAATCTTCTCACGTGGAACGTCATATAAAAAAAGAATAAGAAACATCTGCTTAGTAAACCGCGTTATATTTTTTATTTATCATCGTTAGCGTGTGCGTGTGCGTAAAGTGCGAGTCGTTTGTTCGTTCGTTCCTTTGTCTCATACAATAAAAAATAAGTAGATAAGTTTAGCAGAAAATGACTGACGAATCTAAAGTTCCCGAGGTAGAGATAGAGAAAACTACTATTTTGCAACAAATGACAAACAACAACAACAACAACAACAATAATGTGATGAATGAAACAAACCAGACGGAAGATATTACAAACCAGGGTGTACCACAACACCTCTACCCATATGACAACGACAACAGCCAATTTAAACTAGAAGAACAAATTGAGTCACCACTACCACCACAGCAGCAGCCACAAAAAGAAAGCGAACAGCCACAAGAACAGTCTCAAGATGCTATTGAAACTTTTTCTATTACGACTAATGAAACAGTTTCAGACAAGATTGTTTCTGTCCCGGTTGAGCAAATAATGTCGTCTTCCTCTATGATTGCTGTCGAAGGTTCAAAAGAGGCAAAGGAGTCGATACAGATTCTTCCTTTTCCTAAAGAAAATGAGACACCTGAACAGCAGCAGCGACCTCCTATCGATGAACCAGACGGACAAACTGATATTGTTGCTAGAATGGATCAAGTAGCCATTGTTCAAACGCAACAACAACTTCAAGTCGAGACTGACAACCAAGGAGCTCAAGAAGTACCACAAAACGAAACTGAATTCAAAGATGTGAATATCATTCAAAATGTCAATAACTCTCAAAATGTCGATAACCCTCAAAATGTCGATAACTTTCAAAATGCCAATATCTCTCAAAATGTCGATATCTCTCAAAATGCCAATATTTCCCAAAATGCCAATATCTCTCAAAATGAAGCTGTAGTTAAACATGAAACGGAAGTTACAAATGAATCTATAGTTAACAACGAAACTGTAGTTCACAACGAAACTGTAATTAAAAGTGAACCTGTAGTTAAAAGTGAACCTGTAGTTAAAAATGAACCTGTAGCGGAATCTGTAGTTAAGTCTCTTGAAATTGCTAAATCAGAAAATTTTGTTGATAATGGTATTTCGAATACGTCGGTACTTCCGCCGCCAATTGCGATGACGATTGTTTTGCCTCCGTCGATTCCTCCAGAACAGCAGCAGCAGCAATCAACGCCATCTGCAATTACTATGAATATTGATCCTCCTTCTGTTTCATTTACTTCGAATATCACAGAGACATCTTCACCATCAACTGAATATAGAAATGTTCCACCTCCCCCTTCTCTCACAACAACAACTACTCCTCCTACTACTTCTAATGCTTCAGATCAGGTTCAATTTCATGATGCTATGGCAAAAGTTAAAGCAATCGCCGCTAAATTACAGCAACAAGCCGCTGCAGCCGCTCAGAACAACCCAGACCCCTCTGTTAGTCCTGTTCAAAGTTTGTATAATTTTTTTTTGATTTATTTCAATCACAAGAATGAGATTTGACGCTCATTTTTTTACTACACATAAAAAAGTTCCTCACCAAGGTGTCAAAAGATCACACGAAGATAGTTACGTTTCAATTCCACATGGTACAAGAGATAACAACAGTAACAATAACAACAACAACAGCCGCGAAGATTATCGAGATGATTATCGTCGTGATTCTTCTTACCGTAGATCGAATGAAAGAGGTCGATACGAAGATTACGGGAGAGATTCGAAGAGAACAGCCTATGATGGTGGTTCTTCTCGTCCAGAATGTATTTTATTGGCTCTTATTTAATGTTCTATTTTGTATTCAATTTCTAATTAATCCTATTAAAATTTAGATGATAGCGGTAGACATCGTTATGGACTTGGTAGTGAGGAACGTCGAGCACACCATGGCTCGCATTATGGTCCAGGTGGTGGTGATATGTCATCACGTTCAAACAATAATAACAACAACAACGTTCACGAAGAATTTAAGGTTCCCAATGCCGTCGTGGGTCTAGTGATTGGACGTGGTGGTGAAAATTTGAAAAGAATAGAGAAAACAACTGGTGCTAGAATTCAATTTTCACAAGGCGAGATATCAACAGGAAAAAAAATTAATTGTCTGCAAGTTGCTTACTAAATAGACGTCAGACATAACTAATTGGCTTCTTTATCAATTAAATAGATCAACCTCCGGATGCAATTGAAAGACGCGTAACAATTACTGGAAGCGCAGACGATGTACAAAACGCCAAAGGAATGATCCAACAACTGGTGGATGACGCTACCAGTGGAAATACTCCTGGTCGTCGTGATTCTTTTGGCCCTAATCGTACAACAATTACTATTCATATTCCAAGTAGTAAAGTGGGTGTTGTGATTGGTCGTGGTGGTGAAACAATACGCGATTTACAGGATAGAAGTGGCGCACGTATTAATGTCACGCCTGATAGTGCTGCACTTCCGTCTGCTAATGATCGCCCTGTTACTCTTATTGGGGATGATAATGCTGTGCAACGGGCTAAAGCTCTTATTGATGAGATTGTTAATACAGGAGATCAACCACCTGATAGGGTATCAATCATTCATCACTTCTCTACCTTATTGTAATGAATAAAGCATTGCTTGTAATAATCTGTTGGATTAATATAGGGAAACCCGAAAGATTATCCCTCGAATAATTATGCTAGCGGTACCAATGCATATGGTAACGATAGTCATGGATCAGGTAACTATGGTGGTGGCGGTGGTGGCCATTATGGCGGCCTTGGAGGTCAATATAATGGACCTCCAGGAAAATCTTCGCATGAGACTATCACAATTCAGGTACCCAATGATACGGTTGGACTCATAATTGGAAAAGGTATTTACCTCTTGATTCCAAATACGTGTGTGTTAATTAATTCTAATAATAAAAATCAAAAAAAGGTGGCGAAACAGTAAGACTACTACAACAACAATCCGGTGCCAAAATACAGATAGAACCAGTTCTTGGACCTCCCCCTGTCGAGCGTAACGTGCACATAATTGGTAAGTCTACGTCTCGTGTTTTGTTTGCTGCTTGTTGTACGACCAATATCTATGCTCTGTAAATTCAATGCCAGTCTGTTCGATTATTATTTTTATTGCTGTTGCTTTGCGTTCATGATGATGACGTGCGTTCGTTGTTGTAGGGACTTCTGAAAATGTTTCTGTCGCGAAATCTTTGATTCTTGAAAAAGCTGCATCTGGAAATGTACATGTCGTTTGCCATATCGCTTCTTTGTTGAGTGTGATTGCTATGCTTTTTTTGCGTTTGCTTTTTCGATTAATTTATTTTGGTCAAATATTAAATGTTTTTTGTTTGGTTTGTTAATTTGGTTTTTCCTCTATTTCCATATCCCTTTATCATCTATTCACGTATCGAAATATATTAGCGTGATCGGCCTTCACGTCATGAACAAGGAAGAGGAAGAGAAAGTGGAAGTAGTGGCGGCGGTGGCGGTGGCGGCGGCGGTGGTGGAGGAGGAGGAGGAGGAGGAGGAAGGTAAGTTTCCCGTCTTTCCTCATTTATTTATAAACGTTAATTATATAATTTATAAATAATTAATTTAGTGACTATGGACAAAATAGTGGAGGAGGATACCAACAAAGCGGTGGTTATCAACAGCAAAGCGGGTATCAACAAAGTGGCTACCAACAGAGCAATAGTAATTACGCACAAAGCAGTGGATACCAGCAAAGTCCATATTCTTCCAGCTCATACGCCACGCAGACTCCTCAACAAACCAGTTATAGTCAAAACACTCCAATTGACTACAATCAAATGAACATACCGACGCCTGTTGCAAGTGGTTACGCGCCTTCGTCAACAACGTCTACATACGGGGCTACTAATCAACAGCCACAAGCTACCACTTCTGGTTACTTGCAGTATGGCACTTATGCTCAAAATCCGTCCACGGCAACTTATAATCAATATCAAACTCAATCACAATATACGGCGTATCCGCAACAGACTCAGTATTCCCAACAGCAGACTCAGCAACCAGTATCTACTAATCAAGCCACGACAATGGCGTCTAATCCGCAGACTACTATTCAACCTCAAGGTATTTTTTATTGATTCATTTATAATATATTTATTTGTAATATACTTATATATAATACTAACAATGATAAACAAACAAAAAAAAACAGCTACAGGCTATTATCAAACACAACCGATAACAAGTGACCCCAACAAACCTATCGACGCTAAACTGGACTCGCAAACACCGACACCATCTCAATATGGATATCAGCAGTATGCATATAACTATGGGACTACTACGGCTGCTACTACATCGATGCCGTATTCCACCAACACTGCGTCAACAAATATTTCGCCTGCTGCTGCTACGACAACCACGACTCCTACTTATCCAACTAACTCGAGTCTATATACTACCTCGGCGAATACAACTGCGCCGATTTCCACGGCAACAGGAACCACAGATCAGACATCGCAAGCCACGACATATGCTAATTATTATGCACAATATCCACAAGACCAATATAATCAACAGAATTACTATCAACAGTATTACCAACAGCAGCACCAGCCTCAGCAGTCACAGCAACAACAGCAACAACAACCTTCTTACAACTATCAAACACAAGGCACTACTGGCCAAACTGGAGAGGCTCCAAAATAGTAATCCCTTGTGTGTTTGTGTGTGTGTCTATGAATGATGCTGACTTTTTTGCGTGCTCTCGTTCATGATGATGATGATGATGATGTGATGTGCATGATGATAATTTAAGACGCCTCGTTTTTGTGTATGTCTCTTTTGTCCCAAATTTGCCATCAACGTCATGAGGTTGCGCGTGTATGTGACTCTGTGTGTCTACCTGTCTTTGTATGTTTTTGTATGAATGTAAATAACGTGTCGTCTTTGCTCTGTCGGTTTTATTTTATATAGATCGAATCTTGTCGATCTTACATCATCATCATTATTAGTTTCTCTAAAATAGCTTTTTTATCTTTTATTTTTTTTTGGTTTTCTTAATAATCATTTTGCAAAGATTAATGGAAGGATTTAGGTAGTAAGTAGATTTGATGATCGATATTTCTTTGCCAAGTCTTCTCTCCTCCCTTTATTTTCTTCTATGATATCGTTGAATCTATATGCCTGTTTGACTTATATTATTACATGTACATAACAATGAATAATTCGTTGCTGCTGAATTAGATAGATTAACCTAATTAATTGATTAATTGCCATATTCTACTTGTATTATTTAACCAATCATTGATCCATAGGCACTGCACTTCGACTACTCCGATCGATCAATTGAAGCGAATTTTGAATTTCTTTGAATAACTTTATTATCTACTGCATAATAAATAAATAACTAATAAATAAATAATGCTGTGTTATATTATAATGTAATAGATGATTGGATAATATGTAGTATAGAAAAAATAATGAAAATGAATAAAAAATCAATTCTTCAGGACCACACTTTGAATTAACCAAGAACCATACACGAATGGATATAGCCTTTTCATCCACACGCGCCACATCACGACGAATACTGTTGTTGTTTTTGTGAAGGAGGTGGTGAGGTATAAGGCCCCGAATGTCCTGGCTCTGGGAAATGAACACCCTCAAAGGTGGCATTACACTTTTTACACACAGTTTTTTTCCGCGAATATCCACAAAATCGTGGTAGTCCAAGACAAAATGCCCAGAATAGCGTGCCATTTGTGCTGGTAATATAATATTGATTATCACACAATCTAAGAAATAATTCATAGTATATATAGATAAATAGATTACGTACTAATGAGACCTCAACTCATGGTATCCTCCTTTTGGACATGGTCCTAACTGTGATGCTATTCGATTCTGCTCGAGAATTGCTGGATCTGTCAAGTTGAAACGATTGAAATGTCTATATTTTTCGGAGAAATCAGTTAAATAATCGTAACGGCGAAAAGAAGTCAAACTTGCCTTCATTGACTTTGTAAATGTTCGCGTTGCCAGGATATGCCATTTTAACGTTATAGTTATTAATTTTTATTATGCTAACTAAAGTGCCGTCTTTTTCTACATGTATAAAAGTATACTAAATATAAAACTTGTTATTTTGGTAATAATGATAATGGCCACTGTATTTTTCTACATGTATAAAAGTATACTAAATATAAAACTTGACATGTATATTAGTTATTTTGGTAATAACGATAATGGCCACTGTATTTTCTCATGACATCATTATGTATTGAACGTTCTATTTTTACTCATGCATATCAATATATCATTATACATTGTCTGCTATGATAATACATACACACGCAAAAACGTTCGTGTTCAAAGGAAGTAGAAGTAAATTTATCAAGTAACAGAACATAGGTACTTTTTGAGATCAATCAATTATCATAAACTATTAGATTAAATTACAAGGTTTTCGTTTTTTTTTTTAACATGAATTATTGTTGTTGTTGTTTATTTGCTGTACTTAAATAAGGTAAAAAATAATTCTCGAGATTTTTTAGTGTAACTGAAAAAGAAATTAACGCCACACACACGCTCGAAGAAATAAAAGTACATACTTACATATATTTTTATACACCGAACACCCCGACATCAACAAACAAGCATACATTCCTTTCGTTCTCTTCTCTTCCTTCCCGTGTACCTTACCCCCAAATCACGAACAACACTCCAATCATCAAATACTTTATTAAATTTCGATCTATGATTACAGAGGCACCCGAACTCGGTTTCCCACCAGAACCAATTTGGTTTGAATTGTTGGAATTAGGTGGTGCCGTGGGACTGTGTCTTAACTCCGCGTAAGCAATCACAAAGTCGTTTTGTGTGGTGATTAATTTCAACACGGAGAAGTCGCTGAATGAAGACCCATCTTTGAGTTTAAAATCTACCGGGGTGGCAATATCGTATTGTTTTACTGAAGTGTCCGAAATCGCCACTGCTACTGATCCAGGGTCGATGCTATTTGAACCATACCAATATCTAATAATTATCGTAATAATGATGCTGATGAGGTTTTTGTTACTGAAAACCCAATAAATAAAAAATAATTTCGAGACTTACGACGAAGGAAACGCAAAAAAATAAATGAATTTATCCACGGTAAAAGTGCATCCGTCTTTAATATTAACAGTTCCGCTAATCGTGACACTCTGAGATGAAGCATTTGTGACCTGTTTCAGCGGAGCACTTGTCGAGTTAAATACACTAGGGTCACACTGTGATGCTGAAACAACTGCATTATTATTTTCTAGTAAGAATAAAGAGATTAGCACTAGGAAGAGAAAAGTTGCACTATAAGATTTTGAATTGTTTTTTGACATCTCAAAAGTTCTGTGGGTGTTCGGATTTTTTATTATTATTTTATTCTTTCGTTGATGGACGAAAAAAGAATAGTTAAGATTCCGAGTGGGAATTAGAACGACAACGCAAACGTGCGTTTCGTTTTTATTGTATAAAATAGTTTCCGAAGAGAACCTTTTATCGTTATTATTAGAATTATTATAATTAGTTAAAATTATTAATATCGAATACTGTATCGTGTTCCAATATAGATTTATATAATTGAAAATGGTAGTGAGACTGACAGTTTAAGAGAAGTCAGACGACAGTGACTGCAGAAAACAAGATACACACATACACGATAAAATAAATATTTGGAAAACTTGAATAACCACTAATAACGAGAAAGAAGCAAGAAACGTGCATATTGTGAATATCGTAAATTACGTATCAAAGCTTATTTAATGCGCGTCGTTCTTTCTCGAAAAACATAATCATTGTCGTAATTGACGTTTTTATAAATACATGTACATAATGTTTGCTGTCGATCGTAAAATTAAGTTTTTGTCATATGTCTGTCCACGTTTCCCCACATTAATCATCATCGTCTTTACCATTAACGTTTACAGTTGATCTAAAAAGATGAATGCTAGCCAATAAAAAATGCTATAAATTAAGGAATGATTTTAAGACGACGTTGTTGTCGTTGTTTGTGTTCCGTTGATAAATGCTAAAACACTGAAATTTAGGAAAATTGATTGTCAGACTCAACTTTATTATATGTCACATAGAGAGAGCGAAAGAGATGCACTTACCTCGGGATAACTGATTGCGCTTTTAACATCACTTCGCGCCACTCTTCATTCGCATTAGAAAGAAAAGTAATTGCACCACCAGCACCAATTGACAAATCTATTTTCAAAAATTGGAAAATTTGATATTATCGATTTAAATTTGGCAAGCCGAAAGTCATCATTTATTTCTCTTACCAGTTCCATTTCCAATAACCGCTGTTCGAATAACAACGCTAAACATCGCACTGCCCTTTTTTCGAGCTTTCGTTCCATCACCCATTGATAGATACCCTAAGCATCCGGAATAAACGCCACGAGGTAAATGATTTTCGAGATCATCTAAAAGTTGCACGGAGCGTAGTTTAGGCGCTCCAGTCATAGAACCTTTTGCGAATAGTGAATAATAAATGGCATATATTATTAAGAATGCTATGTGTGCATGTATATGTTGTGTCTCAGATCACGTCTAGCCTAATTGAGTTAGGGTGAGGGCAGTGTTGTCACTTGGACGTAAATCCAGCAATTTGATTGGTTGGGACAAGCGTCCTGACCAATCAAATTGCTGGATTTACGTCCAAGTGACAACACTGGGTGAGGATTAATGCTGGAAGATAGGTTAATGTTGGCCAAAAATGAGCACGTGAAGCGTGATATGAGGCAAATCGTAATTTGAGACACAACATATATTAGAAAATAGATAAATAGTAAAATGTACCAGGAGGAAAACATTTACGCACAGCTTCTACACAATCTATGTCACTTTTCAAAGATCCATTAACAGTTGTTACTAATTGATGCATTGTTTCATAAGTCTCTATTTTCATTAGTAGTGGAACTCGAACTGTTCCTGGTAGACATATATGCACCAGATCGTGACGAATCAGATCGACAATCTTTTAAAATGCCAAGAAAAACAAATATATCTTGTTATTATTGGCATGGTGATATTATAAATCGTAAGAAATAAAATAAATAATAGAAGCGAAGCGAACCATTAAATTCTCCGCTCGCTCCTTGACGCTACACTCTAAGGACTCTACTCGTTTCCGATCTTCCTTTTTCCGATTCAGTTCACATTGTTCGCCCCCGTCACATCTCTCCACACAAAAACATCCAGAAGCAACAGCCACCGTACCCTTTATCGGCTTCATCTCCACACGTCCATCGCATGAAATCTCTATAAATTTTTCAGGCGACGAACTTAGTATTACCAAATCTTCAACGGCGAAGTCAAACAATGCCGAAAAAGGAGCTGGATTTTTTCTTCGAAGATGTTTGTATAGTTCGAGAACGTCATCTAATCGGTTTAAGGTTGTACGAATTTGGGTGGTTAGACATATTTCGTAACTTTGTCCATCGTGTATAAATGAACGTGCTTGTTCTATAGCATTTATATACGATGGGTAATCTCTATCAGGAGTGAATGATGATATTTGCGATTCTAATGAATGTTTGCCCATATGCTTTTTATCAGATTTATTCTCTGTGTAATCAGAAGACTGTCCATTGCTGTTTTTACATCGATGACTATTGAAATTCATTTGCATCACATTGTCATCAAATTGCCTTTTTGTTAGACAAAGCAGACGATTCTCAGTAGCCTTAATCCAAGCCGCAAAATCACGAGGCGAAAACCCCGTAGTAATACCAAGCACATCTTTGATATCCTCGAAAACATTATTAACAGAGTACTCTTTTTCACGTATTAACCCAGCAAGCCATATTCGCTTCTCAAGGTGATCAAACACGATTGCCTGCGTAGCAAATATAAATGCCGCGTCAACTTGACTACAAATGTTTTTCTTCTGTTGCTCTTGTGGTATCACATACCCGGACAACGATTCACGTTTCATCTCGTATCCAAAATATCCTATCATTCCTAACCGAAAATCAAAGGGGACTTGTTGATCTATCGAATCGTCATCAATGATTACGTTTACTCTAGTAACGCATTTATTAAAAAGATCCATAGTTTCAGACATCCAATCCCAAAATGTTTGACCTCCAGTTAGTACTTTTGACATCACGATTCCATTCGAACAGGTGATTTGAAGTCTCTTGGGTAACGTCGCGTAGAAAGTGGAGAATGCATTTGCTTCAGAGGGAGTTGAGCCCATGAATGAGAAACGACTTTGAGGATCTGGTCGCTTTTTTAAGTATTATTTTTTTTAATCATACGCTTCAAGCAAGAAACATTTTGATATAGAAATAAATACCCTAGCACTATCCAGCCACCATGTGCCTAATAACGACGGATCAGCAGACACGACATTCTCGAATACTTTCTCCGAGTCTATCCAGATATTTTTGTCGAGCCTTTTAAGAACTATGTGGTACCTGGGAGACGTCCAAGAAGAGGACGATGATATTTCTCGAGACCTACTAATGGATGTTGAGATAATTGAAATATCTTGGATATGAGAAGGAAATTCATGACGTTGGAAAAATCTTCCATGCTACATAATTAGTAAAATAACTATCAGATAACTTATGATGGAATATCCGAAACAAAATGTTTATAAAAATACCTTCTTTAAAAAAGAGCAAGTAATTTTTTGAAAATTTTTCGATATTTGATGACCGTACTCTGTGCATATAGACTTTATGAAAAATTGATTTAATGAAACAGCCAAATAGACAGAATAAAAATGAAACCACAAAATAAATATGAAAAATACTTCGGGATGAAACTGAACTCCATAAATAGGTTTGTATTTATGCTGGAGGCCCATAATCATGTGTGGTGTTGTTGCTCCGTTATTTACTTCTGAAGATGAAAAATTATTATTTTCCTCCTCGTTAGAACAACACCAAGCAGTAATCATTAGATCTGATGGTAAGTCTAAATTGACATTTAAGCTAAAAAGTTATTCGTTGAATTTATTACTATGAATCAAGCAATAAATTAAGCTCAGCTCACGTCGATGGTCTACCACAAGACTGTGATATCGTACACCATAAAAAGCCTCAGGAATTCCAAAAAATAAAGAATCCTCTTTACTTATATCATTGTGTCTAATTAAACTCAATTGTCCATGCATTATTTTTGGGGCATGTATCAACTAAGAAATTGTTCAATCAATTAATAAAGAAATAAAAAAATGTACACGGAATTTCAAAAAAAAATACTTTAGCCCCAGATGCAGCTCCAATTCCCTGATGCCCCAAACACACGCCAAGAACAGGAACACTACAGTCCTCCAATTCAAGCAATTTACCACAAATTCCAAAGTCCTAATAATATTAAAAAACAAAAAAAATTAATTTCGAGTTTTATATTTTCTTTGGGTACATAGAAAGGAGGGGCTCCTACACAAGCATTCTCGGGGCTACCTGGTCCCGGTGATATGATAACATTGTCAAAGTATGGAAGGATATTGGTTTTGAAGTAATCCCTGTTAAGGCAATTAACGTCGTGCCAAAACGACATTGGTAAATACGAGTTTTCTGTTTCACGTAAAATTTAAATCATTCAAGTTTTTATTATAAATTTTGATTCCTCACCACTCAAATTGGTCATTGCGAATTACTATAACATTTTCGGTAGTAGCATGAAAACACTTTTCAGTCGCATTGTTGTCGTTATCAGCACTCATTTTGTTCCAGAGTTGAAGCAAGTTAAATGTATAAGAGTCATAATTATCAATAATTAAAGTTCGTAATGTAGAAATGTGATGTTGGTAGTCTTCCATAGTATGATTTATTTTATTCGTGTGTGGTTCTAAAGATCTCTTCCATATAAGTGTAAAGTTTCAGTAACAAAAAAGAAAATCTAAATCTTTTTTATAATTCTATCGCAAGTTACTTCCTCTCCTCACTTTGACACGTCGTATTATTAAAATTTTTCGAGAATTTATGATTTCACGTGGACACATTGATTCAGAAATATTTACCCCAAGACCCGACCTAAATGGTCCTAAATAGGTTTAGATCAAGATGGATAATATATACCGTAATTGAAATTGAGATTTTCCGTTCACGTGACTTTCGGAGTTCCGTTTTACGAACTCGTATTTACAATAAGAGAAGTAACAAATATTAGCTAATAAGGTAGCCCGCCCTATTTCCGTGCACTTTTTATTGTTACATATAAAATATTTATATAGTTAATATTTTTTTTATAAAAGTTTGCACATTAAATCTATAACAACTAGTGTATTTAATTATATAAAAAAAGAAATAAAATTAGTATAAAATTTATATACTGTCCTATTTCCGTGTACCTATATGTTTTGACTTAGTCAATTTAGATTTTTTTCATTTAGATTTATTTTTTAATTTATTGCATAAGACTCGATATAACGACCATGCGGATCCTATTGTAAACAATATAAATTCAATAGAATCTGCATGGTCGTTATATCGAGAGTCGACTGTAATACCAATTTTGTGTTAATTCTTTGTAATCTAAACTATATTTTTATAAAATCTTGAAATATTAAGTGCACAAAAATAGATTCAATTTTATTTTATTTATGTTATAAATTACTATTAAAAAATACAAATATACCTAAAATTATATTCCGAGCATATTTAATTAATAATCTAAAGTAGATTTTTATGAGATATTGAGTGCATGGAAATAGGTACATGCACAAAAATAGAGAGAACTATCTTATCAAATTTACTAATTTTCCCTTTCCTCCAAAGATTAGTTTGAGCATTAGAACAATTGCTGCGCCATCTTTATATATTATATTTTTAAAATTAATTTACTCTGAGCAAATTCAACAAAATTTTTTTTAGTATTTTTTATTTTTAATTAAAGTACTTATAATTATTAATTTATTAATTAAATTTTTTTTAAAACCAATAATAATTATTTAATAATAAAAAAATAAAAGATTTAGTTATAAAATTTAGAAAGATTACTATAATAAGATTTAAAATTAAATTCTATTTTTCTTTTTAAAGTTTTATTAATTAGTTTTTTAATATTTTTTATTAGAATTATCTTTATTAATATAAGAATATTTCTATATTTTTTTATTTAGTCTAGAATTACATATAGTAAAATAAATAATTTTATTCTTTTTTCAAAATTTTTAAAGTAATTTTTGAAAAAAATAGATTTTTGCCAACTTTTTACAATAAATAAAGTTTATTAGTTTGTAAATATTCATTTAGCAATAATTTTCAATTTTTTATTTTTTTTCTTGGCTTTTTGTTTGATTAATTCATAAAAAAACTGATTTTATATTATTATATTTTTAATAATATTATTAGCAATGTGAATTGATTTTGAATAAGTAATTTATTTCTAATAAATAAATGAATATTATTATAAAGATACTCTTGTTTTTTGTAATTCAAAAAAAAATATTAATATTAAAATATATATATATATTTGATTTTCTAATTTTTAATAAATTAAATTTACCATTAGCAACTATTTGAATTTTGCAAATAATTTAATTTTTTAAAGAAAATTTCAAAACAAAATTAAAATCTAAGTATTAAAAATCTTTTTCATCTTTATAATACAAAACTTTATTTAATTTAGCTATACTTAATTTTTTTACTATTTCAACAATATAATTCATACAATTTATAGTTGTTTTTCTATAAAGTTTTTTAATTAATCAAAATTATTATTGTATTTAAATTAGTATGTCCAGATATTATAAAATTTAATTCAATACTTTTATAATAATTATAAAAGGTCAAATAAAAACAAAATTAAATTAGTCTTCTTTTTTGTCAAGATTAAAAGATGAGTGACAAATATAATAATAAGTATATATTAATAATTACTTCAAGAAAAGTATAAATATAATTTATAAAAAGAATATATTCTAATTTTTGATAAAAGATATCAGTTTTTTGAATAATATTTATATAATAAAAGCTTTTCAAATAAATTTTCTTTCAAAATTATAAAAGAAATTATATAACAAAATAAGTTTATAATTGAGAAAATTATAAATAATAAGATTAATAATTTAAGATAATTTTATTAATAATACTTCTTTATTACTATACTTTTTATTATTATTATCTTAGTTAAATATAAATTATACAAGTAAATAATACAAGAAAAACAATATTTTCAAAACTAAATCTAAATTAAATATCAAATTCAAATTCTAAAATAATAATAATTATATTTATTTATAATATAGAATACTATTTATATACTAAATTAATTATTATTAAATTTTATTTTTTTATTATTTCATATTTTTTTATCTTTTTTATATATTTTCTTATTTTTATTTTTATTTTTTATAATTAATAATCAAAACTAAATTAGAAAATAAAATATAATATTTAATAAAAATATAAATAGTATAAACTAATAAGATATTAAATATTAAAAATAAAAAAATAATTATTCAATAAGTATATAAGTAATAAAATATACTATAATAATATTTATCTTTTATATTCTTTTCTTGTTTTTAAAATATTATATTACTATTTATAAAAAATATATAAATATAAGTTATAATTAAATTTTAATATTAAAAATAGATTTATATACTATTTTGAAGTGATATAATTATAATCTAAATTATTTTTTAAACTAATTTTAGCTATATTTCTAAATTATATCATTAATTTTAAAATTTATCTTTACTCAACATATTGAAACTTGAAAATAAATAATATAATAAAACAAACATCTTTTAATATTTAAATATTTCATCTTTTTCTCTTAATTATATATTTTAAAGCTTATATATAAGTAGTTTTGAATTGCATTAAGCTGATCAAAATATTGTTATTGAATTATTAAATTAATATTTTTATTATTAACTAATTTTTTGATATTTTTTTTATATTCAAATTATTATAATTTCTTACTTAAAGATATCATAATTTTTTTCTTATAAGAAAAACAAAATGAAAAAAGTTTCATTATTTTTGATAATATTATTTGTTTAGCTTTGAAATATATAATACTAATATAAAGAATTAGAATAATATTTATTTAAAATTAGAATCTTATTTATTTCATTTTTCTCTCTAATATTTACTTCTCTTTAAATTATACAATTTCAATAAAAATTAATATAGAACTTAAATATATTTTTCTTATTATTTTTCTCTTTGTTTAATTTCTTTTTCAACCTTTATTCATGTTAATTAGCTAATTATACAATTAGTGAAAATGTGTAACAATATCCAGAATTTCTTGTCTGATCAACACAATTTTTAAGAAATAAACCAATTAAATTACAAGATTAATATATAATAAAAAAATTCAAAATAAAAGTTTATTTTTGAAAAATAGCTTGTATCTCAAAATTTATGCCTATAAAACTGCTTTTTATATTCTAATAAAAAATGTTCCTTGCGAAATTTTACATATATTTCTCATATTAATCATAATTGAAATATCAATAGCATTTTAATTATATTGCACATAAGAGTTTGTAGTAAAATTTTTTGCAAGAAATATTTTTTATTAGAACATAGAAAGCACAATTTTGAGATACAAGCTACTTTTCAAAATAAACGTTTGTTTTGAATTTTTCTATTACACATTAATTTTGCGATTTGATTGGTTTACCTCTTAAAAACTGTGTTAACCAGACAAAACGTACGTACGTGTTATTACAACCAAAAAAGATACATGCAACGAAATTTTTTTCTTTCTAATTTTTTTATTTTAATTTTTAATACAATTAAATTTTCTATTATCACATTCTTTTTAAATTTTTATGTATCAAATTGTTGTATTTATGTAATTAATTACAAAATTAAAAAAAATAAATGATATTAAAAATATAAAAAATAAATTATTTCTAGAATTGTTTTCTATTGCTCTAATTAAATCTATAAGATCATCTTTATTTGTTAAAATAATATTATATTTTGATGTTTTCTCTATATTTTTAGCTCCTATAGAATAACACAACTTTCGATATAATGATGTGCAGATTCTATTGAATTTAAATTGCTTACAATAGAATCTGCACATATGTAGTGAGTACCCACATAGTATTAGAAGCACCCATAACACTCTATCAGCCGATATTGTCAGCACTATTGATAAGCCTATACAGCGGCAACATATAAACACAGATACTTTCGCAAAATCTAGTTAACGAAAATGCGTAAAAAAAAGTCGCGGTGCAGAGGAATATGTTGTAGAAACAATTATAAGTCATAGATTTAAAGATGTTAAGTATTAATATCTCGCTTTTCATATCGTGTTTCAATAAATAACGAGGGCCATAACTATGCGATTTTTTTGACGAAAAATGGCAGATCATGTGATTCTGATCCTGATGCCGACCATCCGATCTACCTCTTAAAATTATGCACAAATCAAATCGTAAGATAAAAAATGTTCCTTGCGAAATTTTACTATATAACGCACTCCTGCCTACTGTACAATAACCTTGACTCTAAACCTAACTCTACCCTATTTAATATTATGCATTATAATTTAAGGGGGTAGATCGGATGGTCGGGATCGGAATCACATGATCTGCCATTTTTCTTGGTCTTCACTTTTTGTTACTAGAAAATACATGGGAAAAGGCGGAGAACGTGTAAATTTAATGCAATTGCAAAACACGTACGTATATTTTGAAACATTACTTATAATGATTCTTATTATTAACAAGTTATGCAAAAAAAGAAGATCGAGATATATTGGAACGTGGAATTCAAATCCCAGATCACAAAAAAAAATTGTGTAAAAACTCAATTTGCCAAAAGGAAATAATAATCCGTTGGATAATGTAATTGAATCTATTAAACAATTAATAATATCGGTGGGTAATACTTAATATTAACGTTAATATACAATGTTAAATTTAGATCGATTTCTCTAAGCTATTATTTAAATTGATCTATAGAATAATATTCATTCCGCCGCCGTTAGCACTACCTCAACCCCTGATGCTAACATCAATTTTTATAATATGGGGTGAAATTACTCTAATAGATTTGTCCCTTTTCTACTGATTCCACCCCATATGGATATGGATATCGATGATGTAAACAGACAGACAAACGATGAAAACAGACAGACAAACGATGAAAACAGACAGACAAACGATGAAAACAAACAGAAACAGAAGAAAACGCTGTTGATTGACGATAAAAGATTCGTTGAGACATTAAAAAGCATCATCAAGGATCAAAAAAATCTAGAAGAACTTCTTAAGTCATACGACGCGTACAGCGACGAAGATAAGAGCGAAGAGCATATTCTGCTTCAACTCCATGATAAAATGAAAGAGTTGGATAACACGAAACCACGCCAAAGAAGTGAGAAAATTCAAATACAGGCTTCATTTTACATTTATTTTGATCGACTTGAAGGACTCAAAAATACCGATACCGTCGAATTCATTTTGAAATCTGAAGGTTATCCAAAAAAGGATAATACTAGAAATTATTTCTATACAAGATTAAGAACAGCTAAACGATGCAAAAGTAATTCCAAAGGTAAACTTTGATAAAATAAGATATATTGATATTGATATTGATAGAATGAATGGAAACAATGTATTAATTCAATCATTTTATCATAAAATATATGTAAGTTAGTGACAAGTAAATTGATATGGGCAACAAAAAGCGGATTTTACATGAATTACGTATTTAACAAAGAAAATTTCTAAGAGTTCAATTATTATAGCATATTTAGTCAAAATTAAAGATGGCGCGGCAACTGTTGCAACGTGGTGACAAATAAAGCATCACCTAGTTGCAGCTTATAAAATTTTGGAGTTGCAAAGTGTTGCAACGGGTGACAAATAAGCATCACGTACTTGCTGCGCCATCTCTAGTCAAAATCAATAAAACAGACACAATAATAACGATAACTATCGTTATCAACAAAATTTCTTAAAGGAAGGCGACCACTAATATACTGTCATACGCTCCATGGTAGAGCGCCACGATTTTTATGCTAGATTCCAAATATATAGCCACTTCTATCATTTTTTGGTACAAAACCAATCTCCACCCTCTTATAAGGAAATTACTTCAGGTCGAAGAAGTCGTTCTGGATTGATCAGCCTCTCCAGTCCATAATATAAACATTGAAAATACGAATTTGCTGGGTTGATCATAAAATTTGCGCATCCTCATTGGTTTCGAGATCATCAGGGATCGGAAAAATCACGTGTAGAAAAAATCGATCGAGGGTGAGCTGGGTTAGTTCCAATAGTGGGTAATTCTGGGTATTATAAAAACGTGACTTTATTGCTTTACTGCGCAGAAGCAGATCTACTATTCTATAACTTGGATTATATGCAGTTAAAGCGAACTCGCATTAAAACGAAGAATTTTCAGGAACCAACCTATTAACAAAGAGCTTGATATAACGAAGAATAATATAAATAGTACTTTATAACGTTAAGCGAAGTTTATTTTTGAATAACCCGGTTTATCGAACCCTCGATAAAGCGAACTCGCGTTAAAACGAAGAATTTTCAGGAAACAACCTATTAACAAAGAGCTTGATATGAATAATAATATAAACAGTACTTTATAACGAATAACCCGAGGCCTTCGGTTTATCGAACTTTAACTGTAGGTTCTAGATTATAATAATACTAACATTAAAAATCATATGATTATAGAAAATCACATAATAGAATAATATCGGAAATTTAAACCTTTACGCATTAGTATCGGAATTTAGAACTAATTACAGAATTTAGGACCAAATACGGAATTTAGGACTGGAATTTAGGACTATCGCTATCGATATTTAAAATCCTAAATATTAACAAAACCCGTGCCGCAACTTTTAAACCTTTTCACAATAATTAATCGTGTACAACTTTGCTGAACTAAAAAAACCCTGAATTCTCACACACGAAGAAAGCAACTAAATGTACGGAAATGTAGGTCTCGCGACTCCACGTGGGTCCGGAACAAATGGCTACGTGGTTCGCAATCTTTCATATATTCGCCCTAGGAAAGACGTCGTCCCCTTTGAATCTTATGAAGAGATTGCTATGAAAAATAATTCGGCGTTGGCTAATCGAACACCGAATAAGGAAATCCTTGAGCACGACAAGAAAAGACAAGTCGAGCTTGAGTGTGTGTTGCTCCGCGAAAAGCTAGAAGATGATAAGTACGTTTGATTACAATTTTATCAAATAATGATTTTTTCTAAAAATTTACTGGTTTGTTGTATAGTATTCCTGAAGAGGAAATCGAACAAAAGGTAGATGCTCACCGTCGAGAGTTGCTTTCCAAGCTAGACCAAGTGAAAACTACTACAACGTAAAGCATATTTTCTTATCATATGGGGAGAGTCAATTGAGACCAAGCAAATCAATTTTCTTCAAAAATGAAAGTTTAGAAATAAACATGCTAATCATTTTTATTAATTAATCATAAATCTCTCAATTTCCATAATAAAGTTTTGAGATATTCCACCCAAAGTTTTTTTTACACATATTAGTGATATATAATATTAAAAACCAAGATTTTATTGATTTGCTTGATTTCTATTGACTCACCGTCATATTCTTTTATTGAATTCTTAAAAAAATAATAAATTATTTGTTTTATCATCATCAATAAATTCTTAGTATTCAAGAGCATCAGACTCATCAACTTTCCGAGGCCAAAGCTATCGAAAATGAGAAAATGATGAAAGCCCTAGGCATAGATTCATCAACATACTCGGAAGGCGCGGCATTCGACAAAGAGCTACAAGAACAAAAGAAAAATAAATTAAAAGAACAGCGGGATTTAGAGAACGAGAAAAAGAGACAACATTTCGAAGAACGTGAACGTAGTAGAAAGGAAGCAGAAGAAAGGAAAAGTGGTGCTGCTGCCGCCTCCGGCGTTGCTCATTCATCATCAAGGAGTCGTGAATTGGATAAAGAGTCACGTCATAAATCGTCATCGTTGTCCGGAAAACACGACAGCAAGAAAGACAACGAGAAAAAAAGTCGTCGTAATAGTGAGAGTTCTTCTCGTCATAAACATTATTCGAAAAAACATAAACATCAAAGTGAGACTGAAAGCGAAAGTGAATCCGAAAGTGACAGTGGAAGCTATAGTGGGACTGACTCTAGTAATACAGAGAGTGTTAGTGACGTGAGCAGAGGATATGACAAAAAGCGGTATTCATCTTCTTATTCTAAGAAAGATAGCCATAATGATCGGCGAAGAGTGAACTCATATGAAGAAAAAGACGCGAAAGTCTACCAAACTAGAAGACATAACTACGATGATGACGATGATTACAGTTCTGATGATAGTCACACTGATAGGAAAGAACGACGAAAAGCACGATCTCCTCACAGAAATACATATTCCGAATCTTCAAAACATCAAAGACACCGAAGAGAAGGAAGCATCCCTACAGCTATCTCAAGACGTCATAGGAAGAGCAGTGCTTCCCCTCCGCCAAGATACTCCCGTGACCAAAGTCTATCACGGTCACCACCTCAAAGGCGAAGACGTGATGATGATAGTTTATCACCGCCTCCAAGATGGCGTAATGAAAGCGTTTCTCCGCAAAGACGAAATACAAGGAAAAGCCATCATAATGAAAAGAGTGTACCAGAAGTTTCCTCACAAAGGAAAACCAACTCTCGTGATCAAGATCGAAAAATCTATATTGATGATAAAACTCGAAAAAGTAGTTTAAAAGATAATGAAAAAAACAGCTTTCACGATCAAGATCGAAATTTCTATACTATTGATAAAACCCGAAAGATTAAAGTCAAGGATGAATATGATGAAACAAATAATCATCCAAGCACTTCTACCCCACAAAGATACCGAGAATATACAGAAGAACCTTCAAGATCTTCACGTGTTCACCATCGTGTTCGTTCGCGGGAAAGAACACCATCAAGACATTCAGAGGAACGTAATCGTCGACATGATCGATCTTTATCTCCTCGAGAAAAAAACTCTTATCATTATAAACGTTCTGCTGCTAAGAGGAAGGATGATTCAAGTGATAATGAAACAAATGTTCCCTCACGACGTGCAAACGTAAAACGACATAAAGCAGAAGAGTTATCTGAAAGCAGCTCGCAAAACAACAGTTCATCCTCCGATGATGGATATCATAATAGAAGACGCGGTGACGAAAGAAAAGAAAGCATTGAAGGTAAATTAGTTTTACCTGAACATCTTCAAAAAAGACGAAAAGGGCGACATGGTAGTAGCACCACCGATTCTTCCGATTAGGTAAAAAAAGGTATTAGGAAATTGGACATTCATTTCTTACAAGATCATTCATCAATTTCATTTATTACTTGTAAGTTGAATCTTAATGCATAGTATTATCCCTGGATAAAATGTTTTTAGTCATTTCAATAAAATGTTATTTTAGTCTTAAAATCTGTGCCCACCGCAGTAACACAAACCAATAAGAATAGGTAAATGTTTGATCAGCCCGGCAAAACAAATTTTACATGTAATATTAATTCTCACTAATTCTACCCTTGACCCTAACGCTAATCCTAAAATTAGCCTTTAATTATTGTCATGTGCCGGGTTGCTAATTTGTGATCCAGTGAATTTACTATTCTATTAATTTGAGATAATGATAATAGTAAAATTTCACATGTAATATTAATTCTCACTAATTCTACCCTTGACCCTAACGCTAATCCTAAAATTAGCCTTTAATTATTGTCATGTGCCGGGTTGCTAATTTGTGATCCAGTGAATTTACTATTCTATTAATTTGGGATAATGATAATAGTAAAATCGATTAAAGTTGATGCTGATTCTCGAATTATAACATGTTTTCCAATTTTGAAGCTTTATTTCTGGTGACAAATTTCACGATATACCAACAGCAAAAAACTAATAACCATTATTTTTTATTTGCTTAACCTCCACAAATTTTAACAAATTAATTAATTGTACATGCAAACTTCATACATACATACTACAACTATACATATTATTATAATTAATTGCTTCATAATTACCCGAGAAAACTAAATATTTATTTTTTAACCACTGCACATTACACAGTTTTCCTTGTTCTCGATCGAGCAGGCTAATGTAGTAACTGGCGTTGCAGCTTTTACCGCTTCTTCGTCCATCGCGATTGATTCCCTGAGAGACGTTTGATCGACAGTAAACTATTAAAGAAAATTCGTTATAATAAGGATAATTTTCGAATCAAATTGTCTTAACATTCAAATTTGAATTGAATAAAATAAATCACCTTGATGGCATCCACTGCAGGTTTCGTTCGGAGATAGTACATTCCTGTTTTAAGACCTTTTTTCCATCCATAGCTTTGTAATGAAATAAATAGCATTAATATGATATTTGGAATCAAACGAATATATAAAGATTTAATCAATTAAATAAATACTTACAAATGCATACTAGTAAGTTTTGCGTAGTTTGGTTCTGCAATATGTATGTTGAGACTTTGCGACTGATCGATGAATGCACCACGATCAGCTGCCATGTCAATAATGACTTTTTGTGAAAGTTCCCATGTCGTTTTGAATAAGGCTTTTAATTCATCAGGAATTCCAGAAACTATTATTATGAAGAATCAATAAATATCGAAGGGTTGAAATAATTGGATAACAAAATGAAAAAAGTCAAGGTCAAAAAACTTACTTTTTTGTATACTACCATTATCCGCAATGATCCTATTTTTCATCTTTTCACTCCACAGACCCATCTCCACTAATTCCTTCAACAACCAAGGATTCACCACCTGAAATTCACCAGCTAACACACGACGCATGTAAATATTACTGGTATATGGTTCGAAACATTCGTTGAAACCTAGAATCTGTGATGTTGATGCGGTGGGCATCGGTGCACAAAGTAAAGAATTTCGAACACCATGCTGCGAAATTTTTTGTTTCAGTTCGTCCCAGTCCCAAAGATCCGTTGGTTCAACATTCCACATGTCGTATTGCAAAATTCCTTTTGATATTGGCGAACCTTGATAAGTCTCGTAAGCACCATGCTCTTTTGAGAGTTCACATGATGCTTCGAGGGCTCCGTGGTATATCGTTTCGAAGATTTGTTTGTTGAGTTTTAGAGCTTGTATCGAATCAAAAGGAAGGCGCATTGAAAGAAATGCATCAGCCAATCCTAGATTTTGGTTTAATTTCGCAAATATTATGGTTTTGTTAATTTATTATTCATGAAAGGAATCATTAAATATTTACTACTTGTACCTTGAACACCGATTCCTATTGGCCGATGACGCATATTTGATCTGCGTGCCTCTTCAACGGGGTAGAAATTAACATCAATAATCTTGTTGAGATTTCGTGTAATAACTTTTGTGACCTATTTATTAAAGAAACAAAAATTAAGAAAACTTTATATAATATAAAAGAAATTTAAGTTATTCAAGAAATTTACATCGTGTAAAGCTTTGAAATTATAATTATCCTTATCAGTCACGAAAGAGGGCAAAGCTATACTAGCAAGGTTGCACACTGCCACTTCGTTTGGACTTGAATACTCGATGATTTCGGTGCACAAATTGCTACACTTTATTGTGCCGAGATTTTGTTGATTCGATTTGCCATTACACGCGTCTTTATATAACATATAAGGTGTTCCAGTTTCAACTTGCGAATCCAAAATCGCGTACCACAATTTTTGGGCTTTAACAGTTTTCCTTGCTAGGGCTTTTTGTTCATAAGATTCGTATAATTGCTATAATTAATCGGAAAATATTTTACATGTATTAAAAATCTGAAAGGAGATTAATATTATAATATAAAGATACTATTAACAATTACTTACATCGAACTTTTCGCCCCATACTTCATGCAATTCTGGCGCTTCATTAGGATCAAATAATGACCAATCACCATTCGATTCAACTCTTTTCATGAATAAATCGGGAATCCAGAGACCATAGAATAAATCACGAGCACGACCTTCTTCCTTTCCGGTATTTTTCTTCAAATCCAGAAAGTCGAAAATATCAGCATGCCAAGGTTCCAAATAGATGGCAAAAGCTCCCGGACGTTTATTTCCACCTTGATCGACATATCGAGCTGTATTATTATATACACGAAGTAACGGGACCACGCCATTCGAGTAGCCATTTGTTCCGGCTATGTACGAACCAGATGCACGAATATTGTGAATGTTGAGTCCAATACCACCAGCAGTTTTCGAAATCATCGCGCAAGTTTTCAAAGTATCGTAGATTCCTTCAATAGAATCATCTTTCATCGTCAATAGGAAACAACTAGAGAGTTGGGGTCTTGGAGTGCCGGCATTAAATAGCGTAGGTGAAGCATGAGTAAAGAATCGTTGACTCATCAGATTGTATGTCTCAATTGCTGCATCGATATCTTCACCGTGAATACCGACCGCGACACGCATAAGCATATGTTGAGGGCGTTCCGCGACTTTACCATCAATTTTCAGCAAATACGATCGTTCTAACGTCTTAAAACCAAAGTAATTGTACATGAAATCACGATCGTAGATGATGGCGGAATTGAGTCGACTCGAATGTTTTTGCACAATGTTGTAAGTCTGTTCAGAGATCATGGACGCGGGTTTCTCCGTTTTAGGGTTGATATACGTGTATAGATTATGTATCACGGTCGAGAATACTTTTTGAGTTTCTTTATGGAGATTTGATATGGCAATTCGTGCTGCTAGAATTGCGTAGTCGGGATGCTTTGTTGTCATGTATGCGGCTGTTTCTGCTGCTAGATTATCAAGCTCCACCGTATTAACGCCTTGGTAAACACCTGATACCACCTGTATATATTATATACATTACATACGTTATAACTTTTCAAGTGCAAACCAAAAAAATATGAGGGATATTTGCGCGAACCTTTTGTGCTATCGCGACAGGGTCAATAAAGTTCATGTCAAGTCCATAACATAGTTTATTCATACGCGCCGTAATCTTATTAATAATAAAATATACGAGTCAACAAAGTGGAATTACACGTTTTAATATTAGTTAGTATTCATTATTTGTCCTAAAGAAAAAAATACCTTGTCAAATGCGACGCGTTCTTTTCGGCCATCTTTACGCGAAATGCAATAAACCATATATTTTTTTTAGGTAAAATAATGATAAAACCAGTTGTCGAATTTAATTTAATTGAAACTGACCTCGTTTAAAGACATACATGTTGCTATATGTTGCTATGTGAATTAGTTAGTAATAATAGTAACAACTTGTATACTCGACTTTTGTTATTATTAAGGTAAAAAATTCATTTATGGCAGAAAACGCGTCAGGGTAAAATTTTCGGACAAAAAATAGGAGCCAAAGAAACCATGTGGATGGTCTGTAGGGGGGTCCAACGTGTTCAGCAGCGAACGTGGACGCGTCCATCACGATCACATCACGCAAAAGATATCCCATCATTTGAATTTATCCATTACTCAGACTGCAGGGACAGAAATCGCAATCACGCAATAGACGTGGATTTTCAGAATGCAACTGGCCTGACAATTGAAATATTCTATAATCATATAAAGAAGGTCCTATGAACTCTATGAAACAATTCATGAAGTGAAAAAGTGTATTTTTTTATTGATTGCTCCAGAAATATCTAATTAGAAATGATCCAAGTAAAAATTTGGCATTGCTTAAATGCAAAATTTTCCAAGAACATAATATGCTTATCAACTATACAAGTAGACATATTTCTTAAAAGCTATTTTAATGCAGCTTCCTTACTTTTAAAGGTTGGAAGCATGTCTCTTTTTCCGTGACATATAATATTTAATTTTTTCACTTATGTGTCCAAACGTGCTACTTATCATAAATACCAAATTTGAAGATTCTTTGGAATTTGAGTCTGAAATCGAATTCAAATTAAACTATTTAATAGCGATAGTTTGTCAAATAAAGATTTATTCAACAAATCGTGACAAGTTTATTAAGGTAGAAATGAGATTACAGTGTATTAATCGATATAACAAGTTTTATGTATGGTATATATGACAACAACTTCAATACTTCATATTAACTAACTATAAAAAACGAGGACCCGATTTTTAGATGTGGGGACTAAACAACATTTCCTTTTTAGATTATTTAAATATCATTTAATCTTCACGCGCGTTATAATTACAAAGTTACGAAATTTTTATTTACATTAATTATTACCTTTACGAAGAAATCAATTATATTTTTACCTGATCTTTTATTTCGTTGATTTCGTTGAATATTCAAGTTATTTTTTTAGTTAATATGTAAAATTTGACTTCGTAACTTGTTCGTTTTGGACTTAATATGTTTAAATTTAACTTAGTCGTAAAGATTACACATCTAATTAATCAATCATGGGTATTTACACATCATATAAACGCCGATTTCAATTAAAAAATGCAAATAAAATACGTCTTGAAAAACAGCAAAAGAATTCTGAAACGACTTCCACCAATAACGAAAACCAACAACGAGCTGATTTAATTTCAACAATACAACGATTATCTGAAAATGAAGTATCATTAGCAACCAGTCTTATGTCAAATATGCGATATCCAAAAGGTCCAAATAAAGGAAATATAATTTCACCATACTTGCAAAAAAAGCACATAATTATATTTCTCAAAATCATTACAAACATCAATCCACTCTACAAGATTCAAATTCAAAGTAAATTACTAATGAACAGTTTCGCGAAAAGGTTAAATCTATTTTTAAACATAATAAAAATCTTATTCTTCAAATACAATTTGGCTTGCTACAAGTATTTTACAAGTGGGCCAAACATCATTATGCTCTGCTGTTGAATGTATGCGATTAGTTTATGAATTTCTAACAGGAGAACTACTTCAAGATTGGTTAGCAACATCTACTTTACATACATGGCATCAAAATGTTTCAGAATGAAATATGAATTGTTAGAAATATTAGATACTTTATCTAGTAAGAAATTTGAAATATTTTTTAATAATTTGGAAAAAGAAATTGTTAAAGTCTTGAAAAATGGTTCTTATTTTGACTTTATTTACCATTAGTTATTTGCTGTTTTGATAGTAATAATGCTAGATCTTTTGCTTTTAGTTTTTATCATGTGATCTTAATGAAAGCTTGAATTAAATCACTAACAAAAATTGGAGTTACAATTTGCTAAAAAACTCAAAAATGATCTAAAAAATGGAATACAGTCAAATCTCTTTATAGTTACACTCATTTATAGTCACACTCATTTATAGTCACACATATTTATAGTTACACCCCTCTATAGTCACATTTCCTTTATAGTCACCAAATTTTGCTTTTCCAAGAATAGTAACTGTAAAAGGATTTGACTATACAATCAAATTCCTCTATAATTACTACTCTTAGAAAAGCAAAATTTGATGATTATAACTATAAAGAGATATAATTATAAATAAATGTGACTATAGAGAGATTTGACTGTAACTGATATCTTTAATTTATATAAGTTACTAATACAAAATAATAATTTTTTTTAGAAAATTTGAATAATTCTGTATTAATAATAAATTATTTATATATAATTTATATAATTTTGTCAAAATTCAAATCTATTTTATAATTATTTATCAACAACAAGTAGAAAGTCTTTTAACAAATTGGATCTAAAAACTTATTTTAATATATCACTATCAGTCAAGCAGTTTAAACTTTATTTGTTCTCAAACAAAATTGAATACAAACTGTTACCAATCTTTAAGTGATTTTGTTACTAGTACTTTTGATACTTATTTATATTTAATTTAATAATTAAAAAGTATTAATAATACTTTAAATTATTATTAAAATATTGAAAGTTCCCTTTGAATATTCCCTTGAATAATATAAATATTTTTGAGTATTTCAAAAGTTAATTAAAATAATAATAATATTAGTAATAGAATAAATAGATATTATCTAGTTCTTGTATTTTTATAACTTTGACAAATAGTAATTTTAAAAAAATTACAATTTGAATTGTGAAGATAATTAGCTAGCAAAATTGAATCTGAATTAGAAAAAAGAATTAAACAAATAAATTAAATATTAAAAGAGAAGAAAAATATCTAAGTTTTATATCTATATTAACTAATATAATAAAAAAAATTAACTAAAAATCAAATAACTAAAAAAATAATTATAAAAATAAAGTATATAAGAGAAAAATAATAAAATAATAAAAAAAATTAAATAAATATATATATATAAATATTATAAAAATAAGAATAATATTAATATTAATATTTTTATATTGTCACCGATTCAATATCGTCAGTTATTCCATATGAAAACACGTGAATAGAAGACGCAGTAACGATAAAAGATTGGTCATAATAATATTTGGATTACGTGTCTAGTTCGATAACATTCTACTTCTTT